GATCCCTCAACCTATCCCATTAGTTGATAAAGAGTTATAGGAGCAAGCGGTTGGGGGAAGTAAGAAAGGCCGTTTATTTGGGTTTGGGTACAACCAAGATCCCAATTGTGTCTTGACCGGGAACTTTCCGGAAAGTGGGTCATCGTCTTCAAATAAACACGTATGTGTCTCTTTTCCTTTGATGATGTTTATCGACTTAGCTTATAATTCATATTAAATATTATAACGTTTTATTTATTTTATAGGAAATTCAAACCTTAAAGACCCAACTTAGAGACTTACAGGAACAAAGTCAGCGCCAACTTAGAGACTTACAGGAACAAAGTCAGCGCCAACTTAGAGACTTACAGGAACAAAGTCAGCGCCAACGGATGGCGGAGGAGGAGCGACGTTTGGCGGAGGAGCGATGGCAGGAGGCGGAGGAGCGACGTTTGGCGGAGGAGGAGCGACAGCGGGTGGAGGCGGAGCGACGACGACAGAGGGAGGAGCAACAGGATAGACAACTTCAAGATACGACTGCTTTGGTTAGACAACTCATTCAATCTCAACATTTCCCTCTGCCACCACCATATTGAATATTGTCTTTTGCTTTGAAACAATTTAGGTTTGTTTATAACAATTTAGTTTTTGTTTAGTTGGAATAATTGTAGTTTCACTTTAATGTATGATATTTAGTTCTATTTCGCCTTTTTATTTTCAATTTTAATATTGTACAGATTTGCAGGTTTTAAATACAGGTATTAAATACATGTTTTAAATATTAATTTTAAAATAAATTTAATTATTTTTCCGGCGGATATATCCGCCGGTATTTTAAAAAAAAATTAATTCTTTTAGAAATATTATTTTAAAAAAATATATTATTATTTATATATTTTTCCGGCGAATATATGCGCCGGTTTTTTTTTTTTTTTAGAAAATATTATTTTTTCCGGCGAGAAATATTTTTTTAAAAAAAATACTGAGGGGTTTGTTAAGTTAATCAAGATTTTATAAATAAACGGCGCGAATAATTTCCGGCGGCCGTGATCCGCCGGAAACGGGGAAAATCCGCCAGAAATTCCACCGGAAAAACAATCACCGGTGCCACTTTTTCCGGCGGCCAAATCTGCCGGAAACAGTGATTTCCGGCGGATATGGCCGCCGGAAATTATTCGCGCCGGTGATTGGATTTTCGGCGGCAAAAACGGCGGATTTTACCAATTTCCGGCAGATCCCGGCCGCCGGTAATTCTTCACCGGTTTATTTTATAAAATCTTGATTAAATTAACAAAATGATTAAGTTTAAAAAAAAAATTGATTTATCGGCGGAAATTCCGCCGGAAATCCGCCGCAACATTTTTTCGTCGGAAAATAATTAATCTTTTTTAAAAAAGAATATATATTTAATTTTTAAAAATACCGGCGGAATATTCCGCCGGAAACTTTTTTCGTCGGAAAATAATTAATCGTTTTAAAAAGAATATATATTTAATTTTTAAAAATACCGGCGGAATATTCCGCCGGAAAGTTTTTAAAAAAAATAATTCTAAATATTTTTAAAAAAAAGATTTTTAATATTTGGAAACATTACCGGCGGACTATGCCGCCGGAAATCCGTCGGAAAATAATATATAAATATAAATATTTTATTTTATTTTAAAATTAATATTTAAAACTTGTTTTAAAACCTGTAAATCTGTACAATATTAAAAATGAAACTAAAAAGACAAAATAGAACTAAATATCATACATTAATTAAAGTGAAATTACAATTATTCCAACCGAACAAAAACTATATTGTTATAAACAAAACTAAATTGTTTCAAACAAAAGACAATATTCAATATGGTGGTGGCGGGGGGAATTGGTGAGATTCACTTAGTTGTCTAACCAAAGCAGCCATATCTTGAATTTTTTTATCCTGTTGCTCCTCCTTCAATCGATGTCGCTCCTCCTCCATTCACTGTCGTTCCTCTGAGGTTCTAAGTTGGGTCTTTAAGATTTGAATTTCCTATAAAATAAATAAAACGTTATAATATTTAATATGAATTACAAACTAAATCGATAAACATCATCAAAGCAAAAGATGAACATACCCGACCCTCTGAAGATGAACCACCTTCCGTGTAGTTCCCGGTCAAGACACAATTGAGATTTTGGTTGTACCCAAACCCAAATAAACGGCTTTTCTTGCTTCCCCCAACCGCTTGCTCCCACAACTCTTTATCAACTAAGGGATAGGTGGAGGGATCATCGCCGTATCTTTGGGTGAGACCAGTTGAATACTTATCTTATATATAGTTTAAAAAATATTGCAAATCAATTTTGACAGCATAACGGCTGTAAATGGGACGTTTCCAAAACAATCCTAACGTTTGCCCAATTATAAATGACAACCCAAACTAAATAATGACATATAGTAATTTCTAACTTAAACAATCCTAACGTTTGCCCAACAAATGGCAACCCAAACTAAATAATGATATATACTTAAAATTTAACTTAAACAATCCTAATGTTTGTCCAACAAATGACAACCCAAACTAAAGAATGATATATATATATATATATATATATATATATACGTAATTTCTAACTTAACAAATTATAATATTTGCCCAGCAAATGGCAACCCAATTATAATAGACATATATACTTACCATGACTTGGCTACACTTTGTGGTCACGTACCCCCCTCCCGGAATTCGCAGATGCGGCATCTCCACTCGACCTCTTCTTGTATGTGTAATCGAACAATTCCACAACGGTAGGGGGCACGCCATCTTTTGCTCGTGTTTATAAAGGTCAAATAATAAAACATGTCTAAATTATAGTTAATTATAACATAATAAAAATCAAGCTACTAAATTAATGGGTTTTAGGTTCTACCAGACGAGCACCATGCTCCGAAAATGGTATCGATCCACCGGTGTGTAGCAAAACTTGACTATCACGGTTCTCACGCGCCACACCGGAAACAG